TTCTATTTTTCTTCATATTCCATTGTCTTTTTATGTACTTTATATATAATTGACAATTTCATATTGCTTTATATACATGTAATAATGAAAACAAACATTCCCCATTTTATCTCGTGAATATTGTAAAAGTAATTACATGTCATTTTAATAATTAAAAATATGTCTAGTTTTATATTTTACTAGATTTACATGATATAGTACAAGTAAGAAATAAAACATTTGAGACATGCCATGATTACTTAACATATCAATAAATAATGTAATACACTTAAACGAATTTATATTATTTTTACATTAAATTAAAATGTAATTGGAATGTCAAATAATCGTTATAAATTTTTAAATAATTATATATACATAGATAAAGCTCTTCAGATACGAATCCCATGAAAACATGTATATGATAAATTATATAATTTTCTATAAAATATTATATTTTTAAATGATATATAACGAATTTTTATAGAATGATTGTAAGGAATACAAATAAAATAATGATAATATGGATTATTTTCAATTATGCATATATATATGTGCTACTTTAAAATTTTTTTTTTTTGAACATATTTATAATTATATATATGTACAGAAATTAAATACGTCTTAATATATGATAACATATATAATATTAAATAAATAGTTATAAAAGGACGAGTCTTATTTTTATATAATTATAAAGAGTAAATGTAATAATCAGAATTGTTTTCTTTTTCTATATTATGTAAATAACTACTCCTTAAAAATTTTGTAAAAATATATATAAGTAAGAATATAGACTATAGCCAAAAAGACAACGCAATAAAAAAAATATAGTATATCCTTATGTATAATACATCTTATAGGAAAAAAATAAATCTAAAATGTAAGTAATTATGGATGCAGAAAACATAATTATCAGATGACTACATCGAGAAATTAGAGTTTCAGATTTAGGGTTCAGGGTATAGTGTTTAACTAAATTATATATTGTACATATTCTATAATATATGTTATTTTTCAGTATGGAAATTTTTTATTTCGTAAATATTATATACATTAGGTTTTACAAATTTATACATTTAGTGGTATTACATCTTATGCATTAAAGCTTTTTTTAATTTATATTTTGTATATACTTATAGGTTAGATCTTTTTTACTGTAAATCCTATAATAAAAATGAATTTATGTATTCATTGTTAATTTATATTTTAACGATTATACATTATATAGCAAATTGTTAAATAGGAGAGCATAACAAATGAATACTACAAATATGTAAAGTGTTTTATGTGTTCATATTTTATTTAGTAAAAATAAAATACAATAAAGAAAAAATTATATATGTTGTAATAATCAAATTATGATAGTGACATATAAATAAAAAATATTTATAATTTATTTCTTCTTGCGAATTAAAATATTATTGTTAATATCAACAATATATGAATAGAACATAATTATTATAATATGGAAATGGGGGAGAACATTGCGAATTCAGAAAATAATAAAATATTTTAAGGAGCCTATTAAATTTTTAGCGTGAAAAAGTATAGCTCTACCTCTTTTTATAATATATACAAATAAACCATTATTTATATAAATTATATATATGAAACAAAAATAATATTATTTTGTATAAAAATACCTTAAATGCTTAATTTAACCTATAGCATCTATGACAATTTTGTTTAAAAACATTGTGCATAGATAATATATATTATAATTGTAACATACACTATAATATTATGTACATTAATATGAATTTCAAATAAATAATTTTACATTGATGTTGTAAATATCATTCTATGGTTGGTTAATATATATATTTATGTATTATATAATCTGTAAACAAGTACACATCCATATTTCTTTGACAATAATATTAAAATAATAACATATAATAAAAATTTATAAAAATAGACACAATGAATAACACAAATTCCTGATTCAAAATAGCACCATATATATACTTATAAATATTATTAGAAAATATTCAACACATTAGTAAATACACAGTTAGAAGTATACTTGTTTTATTTTGTTTATATATCTCATTTTAACATTTGTTAATAATGGGAGCTCGGTTAGGGGTAAGTTTTTTAAATAATGTAAATTGCTATTTACTTTAAAATACGATACTTCAAATTAAATTATTTATATTTTTTTTTAAATAAAAAATACTTATTTTATCATTTGTTTCATATACATAGGATGATGAACTTAATAAATTACCTTCAAAAAAAAAGTATACTAATTTCAATAATGGTCATGTGGGTTGTAACCATGTATATTTTTACGAACTTGTAAAATCTCATCTAAAACAAGAGGAATGGAAGAAGGATGTTTCTAACGAAATACTTAAGGCCTTATGTTATGTATATAATACATATAATCAAGGGAATTTTAATAGTGATGATTGTTATTATCTCTACCATTGGTTAAATGATATAATATATAATAATATAACATATCAATTACATTATATAAGTGTTATAACAGTACTTGAGTTTTTACTAAAAAGTAATGAAGGTTTTAATATATGTGACTATAAGGAATATAATATCAATAACGAAAATTATAGGAATATTAAGAAATTATTTGATTTTTCGAAAGACTATGATGATCTTGCAAAATATTTTAGTACAGGTCAGAAAATTTGTAATAGTGACTTTAAAAATTATCTGGATGAACATATCAGAATTTATAACGAGTTCAAAAACAAGTGTAAAAATTTAATGAGTGATAATGCGACTTGTATATTTTTTCATAAGTATTTTCAAGGTAAGACTGAAAAAGACTTAACTAAATGGAAATTCACATTAGAAGGAAGTAGTCATATTTATGCAGCACAAGAAGAAAAACATACAATATTAGGACAATCAAATGAAGAAGGAGTAAAAACACTACAGATACATGCACTTATAAAATCAGATAAGGAAAAAACAGCACTTGAAAATGTAAATCAAAGTGCATATATTAATGCAGATAAAGAAGATTTAAATCATCAACTATTGGGTCATTCTCTTTTCACAATAGAAAGACCAATATTAAGTGCCATTATTGATAATTCAGGTACTCCTTCAGATTCAACCTCAAAAAGTATGGTAATCCCAGCTTTAGGTATAGGTTTTTCCATTTTTTCTATTATATTGTGCAAAGTAATTATTAATGTTAATAAAAAAGAAATGTGTATTACACTATATTACATAAATTTTATTAATTATTAAACATATCTGAAAATATTATATATAAAATATTTTGTGCATGTACCATTTTTTAATTAGTTTACTCCAGTTGGATATTGGTTAAAAAAAGCATTACTAGGAAAATCTAAAAGCAAACGTAATATTATGATGGATAGGAATATAATAGAAGATTATTCTATTCCAGAAGTTTTAGATTCACCGAGAAGACTTAATATAATATACAGAAATATATAATTGTCCTGCTTATGACAGAAGATGTAATACATTTATTATATATATCATCATCACAATAAGTATTGTGGCACAAAAGTATTCATCTAACATATGAAAGGGAATTATTTTATTTTTTAATAATACAATAATAAATATAAAGTGTACATACAATGCTCTAGGGTTCATGGTTCAGGGGTTGGGCTCAGTGTTTAGTGTTTAGTGTTTAGGAATTATGTTTCCTGTTTTATGATTTAGGGGTTATGTTTATGTTATACTCTTTATGGTTTAGGTTGCCTGTTTTAGGATTTATGGTTTAGTTTTACGTTTTTAGGTTTATTGTTTACTTTTTATTTTTTATTATTAAGATTTTATAGTTCAGTGTTTAATTTTTAATGTTTAGTTCTAGTGTTCAATGTTTAGTTTTTATGATTAATGCATCAGGGTTAAGATTAATTTTTTTTTATATTACTTTTTTTTGTTGTATCTTTTATGTATTTGGACTTACTTTCTCTTTTTTTGTATATTCATTAGTATTTATTTTTGAGTTTTAGGTTTATATCTGTATTTTATTTTGTTTTGAATATGTTTATATTTCTAACATCTATATTGTACTGTTTATATTTTTAATTTTATATGTTATACTTCATATTTTAAATATTATTTAATATATTATATACATAGGCCGATTGAATTTTTGAATATTTTAATCACTTTGAAGGTATTATACGTTGTCTCACTGTATATGAATTTTTTTTTTATAAGTGGAAAATAAATTCATCCTATGTTATTAAGTTCACTGAATTCGGTACTTTTTAGATGTTATTTATTATTTTAATTAATAGAATGGGAATATAGGTATATCTTGATTGCAATATATATTTTCATTTGAATAATTAATTCTCACTCTTTATTGTTTTTTTTACATGTTAATCTATGTATACATATGAACTTATGCTGAATAATCATATTTTAAGTATAACTATACATTATATCAAATAACTGTGCC